CCCCAAAACCCCAAAACCCCAAAACCCCAAAACCCCTGGATATATGAATTATTGATTTTGTGGAGCTTAAAAATAATATGATTTTACCTAAAGTTTGCCAGAGAGGGCAACGAATCTCCCTGAGAGGTGCTACTCTTTCAAGAAAAGCTCAATGGAACCATGCTCATATTGTCACGCCTCATTTTAGACCTTATAGCGGCAAAGAGATGATCCAGACTGTGAAGGGGATGAAGGATGTCGAGGGACTTGATTACGACAAATTCTCATATGTTACTTCTACTGCATCAAAAATTGCAGCCTCTTTTGGATATTCAAACATCATGACTAATATTCTGTAATATATTTCCGTGACTTATAGAGAGCCTGAAGAGCTATTCAAAAGATCTTTGGGACAATACTCTGATATTGTGAATAAAGAAATGTATTCTTTTGAAGATCTTGGCAAGAGAAGGCTAGTTTTGAGGCCTGAAGGCACGGCTGGAGTCATCAGACACTTGCTGAATGACTCTGGTAAACTGCATAGCTTGCATAAAAGCAACCTCAAATATTTCTACCAAGGTCCAATGTACAGATATGAAAGACCTCAAGCAGGGCGTCAAAGACAGTTTTATCAAATGGGCATTGAAAATTTATGTATGAATGACTCTGGACCAATTCATGATTTGGAAATCATTCTACTAGCTGATACTATTCTCAAGGAGATTGTCCCGAGCCAAAAAGATCTGGTACTAGAGATAAACTCACTCGGGAGCCCCGGAGTTATGTCTTCATACAACAAATTATTGGTAGAGTATTTCACGCTTCCAGAGAACTGGTCTCGCTTGAGTAAGCAAAGCCAAATGAGGGTTGAAAACAAGAATCCTCTGAGAGTTCTCGATTCCAAGAATCCAGCTGACCAAGAGGTTTCTCTTGGCAGTCCCAAGATTCAGGATGTCTATGACAAAGAGAGCAGAGAGAAGTTCGAAGGGGTCATTACGGGCCTTGATTCTTTAGGAATCAAGTACCAGATCAATCCAAACTTATGAAGAGGTCTTGATTACTATGAACACACTTGTTTTGAGTATAAATACAATTCTAAAAAGCTTGGAAGAAGTCAGAATACTATACTTGCTGGAGGAAGATATGATGGCTTAGCTCAGTACCTAGGCCATTCGGAACCAATATCCTCTGTTGGTAATGTTTAGAATTTAATGAATATAGGATGGGCAGCTGGAATAGAAAGACTTTGACTAATTCTTTCTGATTCAGATCTTCCGTTAGATTCAAACATCAGGGTTGGAGTCACTTATCTGATTGATAAGAAACAGTCAGGGGAAGCTGAAAAGTTAGAAACTTTAAAGCTGTCTCATCTTCTTAAATCGTCTCTTCCTTCGGCTAATTTTGAAGTTTTCACAAAGCACCAGAAAAATATTGGCAAAAAGCTAGATGTTCTCTTTGGGGAGAAAAACTGAGATTACGTAATCATGATCGGAGAGAATGAGATCAGCTCTCAAAACTATATTCTCCGAGACAAAACTGGCAATATGAGATCTTTTAGTGCAGAAGACCTTATTACCAAGCTTAGAGCTCACTAAACTCACATCCTTCACAGAAAAATTCAATATCTACTACCTACACCGGGGTTTTGGGGTTTTGGGGTTTTGGGGTTTTGGGG